AAAACAACAGCAACATTTATTTTTAGCAATTTTGAACGAAATAAAATTTTTGGAAAACATTCCAATTCGAGCGCAAATGTTGTGCGCATTGCGCGTCTTCTTGCCTTTTGGGAATTAATGTACAGAGCTGGGCTTGGAGTAGAGAAAACCCGACAGTTGGCATCCGAACACACACACTTATATCTTCAATGTACATACATACATAATTATTTATATATAGTATGTTTGTATGTACTCCGACTGTCATGCCATGTGCAAATGCAACGACTTTATATTTATAGCATTGAAGATCAGCATAGACTTGCAGTTTTCTAAAGGCAAAATCACTTATTTGAAGGCCATCACATGAGCGTATTTTCCGATTTTCAATTTTGAAATAAAACATCTCTTACTTACTTACTTGTGGGTATGTGCAACTTAAATTTTTTTTCTGGTCTGCCACTCGAGCATAGAGACGAGGTTTTTAGCATTTTTCAAAATTGGAATCCATTTCTTTACAATACCTTTTATGTTGAATTTTTAAACTTTTACATTAATGCAATTTTAATAGAATTGTTTGCATAGCTGATTTCAGGATTTTCTGTTCAATTCTTCTTGCTTCTTATCTCGTTTTCGTCGCAATTGTGAAGCCACGCATTAATCATCAATAATTCCAATTTGATGTTAGCCAGCTGTCACATTTGTTGGTTGGAATTTGTCTATGTATTTCAAATAGTGCTCACAAATATTATAATTATCATTAAAATTACTTGGAGTGTACTTTGAGAACTGTTTTTGTCAAAGTCAGTACAAGATAAAACACGCTTAAATTACAATTCATACAAAAATTTGTGTATTAATTTATTTTTTTTACACAATTTGCCACAATTGCGAATTTTTTGTCTTTAGAACTTTCAATTTCTTGAAGAAACTCAAAATATTCTGATGTGCAACTTATTTTATATAAATATGACTTAGTATCTTACCTTTTTTCCCACTTTTGTGTTTATTTTTGTATTTTATTTTTATATAAGTTGCTCGGCAAATGTTTTTTCTTATAAATATTTTATTCACTCGCAATTATATTAAATTGTCACATATATTCGTTTTTATTATAAACATTGTCCATTTACTGAGAAGTTTTGGAGCACAACATTGTTTAACACACATTTTCGATCAGTTTTTGGCGGCCTTTAAATTTTGCCAACCGCAATTGAAGCAGTTTTTCCATATTGTCTGTCTAAGGGGGCGAACATTTTTGACGGCGGCATTGCACTTTAGCGCAATTCTAGCACATTTTTGTTGTATTAGCGAATACATTTTTCTCAGAAAACTGCCGATCGCGCCATAAATAAGAACGACGAGGCGTACCCGAGGCTGCCATTATGCAAAATGGCAGCACAGAGCCACAGAATAACGAGCAAAAATATCAAAAAGGGCAATTCGGATGCTATGTTTTGTATATTTTTTGTTTGGCTGTTGTTTTAACCGAGCTGGTTACAAGCTTTTCTGCATGTATGTATGTATGTTTGTAGGTATGTACATATGTATGTAAGTGCGTTTGTTTGTACATTTATTTGTTTGTTTGCGAGCGTACAAAAAAGTTGCGATACGTGCGCGTCTACGTGTTGTAAGTTCTGATTCCACCGAAAGTTTCGCATCGAGCATCGAGCGCCGAGCACTGACCTTGAATACACGTCGAAGTAACTAAAGGGTCGGGTCTGGTCTGGTCTGCCCGACTGACTGAGCGGCATGAGCGGTAAAAACGTATGAAAAAAAGCTCATGCTGTCTCTGTACATATGAGTATATGTGCCACATTATATACTGACCATCTATCTATACATACATGCATACTTCATTGTACATACTGACTCATATATGTATGTATGTACGACTCGTATATAAAGGTATATACATATGTACATACATATGTATGTTTGTGCATAAAATGAGCGCGAAAAAGTTTCGTACTAGCTGACGACGCCCCACAAGAATGAAAAATGAAAACAACAATAACAAATAGTAGACAGAGAGCTTTTCTGCTCTCAACATAAAATTATCAGGCAGTTGGCCCTTTGGGGCGATTAGATTTAACGAATATTTCGCAAATAAGAAATGAAAATAGAGCAACAAAAACAGAAACTAGAATACCAGACATTTGCTCTGCTCTTGTTTATCTGTGGAACTTTTTTCAGGGTCACTCAATCATTACACAATATTTGTTTACAGCGAAAAATAAGTATAACAATAAATTGAAGGCATGACAAAGTGAAGAAAATGTGTTACGTCGTGCTTTTTTTTATTGAGCTCGTCGATGTTGTTGTTATTATTGCTATAGCTGCTGCTGTTGTGCTGGCAAAAATACAAATATGTATGTAAAAAAAAATAATAATATGACGAGGTTCTGTTGTTTACAACGAAAACAAATTTAGTTAATTTTTGCTGCTGTTGTTGTCGTCATCGGTGATTGTTGTTGCTGTTGCTGTTGTGGTGCCCGAAGCCCAAGGCCCAAGACTGTGTGTGTGCGTTTTTGTTTGTTGGAAATAGACATACGGAAGGTCTTTTTTTTACATAGTTAGTGCTCAATGCTAATTAATAAATGCCATGTAAATGTCTGTTTTATAAAACACTTTTGGAAATATGTAGTTCAAGGTGTGCTGTTTTTTCAGTAATGCCGAGACTGTCCCCACACTTTGGCATGGCTGTACTTCTTAGTAAAAACACACACATACACACATACTGATGTGTGTTTTTATATAAAGCTTAGTATAAACTACCATTTCGCCATTTAGTCCCCGCCTTTCCTCCAACAATTTCGCTGCTGCTTGTGCAGAAAAAAAAAACTCGGCATTTAAACAGACAGCAGCAACAAGTTTCGCGCATTGCCAGAACAACAAGATACACACATACATACAATATATACATATATGTATTTATTCCTTACAAATACATAACCGCTAGAACCCAAAAAGCGCACAAAAAGCTGGAATAAACAACAACAAGAAGGCGTTCGCGTAACACACGAAACTCTGTGCCGTCGTCGCCGTCCATAAACTTGAACTTGAAATGTGCTGCGAAAACAAATTTCAAGAGCAAAATGCCGGCAAAAAAAACGCAAAAACTAGTTGAATAATAAATAAACACGCAAAAAACACGCAAAACAACAACACTGCGAGAGCAATCGTTACTCTCACGCACCGAAGCTGCCGAGGCTGCCGAAGCTTAACGAGCCACGAACGCACTGCCGAAGCTTCGTTGTACAAAACTTTCATTCGTTGCGGCGTTCGCGAAATTTGCCGAAATTCGCAAGCGACCAATCAGCGTCGTATTTTTGCACAAAACAAAAAGAGCAAAAAAAAGCTGTTCGTGCGAATGTGTGTGTGTGCGAGTGTGTGTCTGTAGGCGAAACGCTCGCGTCATGTCGGTTCGCTTGTGGCTTTTGCTTATTTTTGGCACGACATACGTCGCCATTTTTGCGCAAAAAATATATTTATAAGCTATATACAAACTACTTATGTATGTGGTTAGATGTGTGACTATGTCGCTACGTTTGTGATTCTTGATATTTTGGTATAAGCTCATAATTCAAGTAAATTGCCAGACACGTGGTTAGCTAGAACGTTGTTCCGATCATTGACATAGAACTGTAGAACTGTTTTGCCGCATGGCGAAAAAGCTTTGTGAGACAAGAATATCGCGCGAATTTATTTAGACTTTGCTTAGAACTTGTTGATTCTAAATAGAAGCGTGCGGTTGCACCGGAAAAAAATACATGTTAATTTGATCGTCGATTATTGTAATGCTATTAATTGTACAAATTACGAATATTAAAGTAATTCAGGCCGATTAAATAAACGCTGAAGAAAGAAAAGTAATATATCTTTAAAACAAAGTTTTTAAAAAGGAACGTCTATAAATTTGCGTGCGAATTATGAATTTAGCTTTGAGAGCCATAGTAGTCTATCTCGAAAGTATTAATGTTGTCCATCTCGCTAACTATATATTTTTTGCAGTGTATAACCATTTGATTCTTTCTAAAAAAACACAACCGAAAAATCCGCTATCTAACAGTGCTTATCAAGTATTACTTCCGACTCATGAGAAATGTTCAGATAACAGCAAGAAATAATAGCTTTAACAGAGTCTAGTTTTTCGCTTCTACTAACAGAGCCCCACACACAAAAATGTTGGTTCTTGTCCCCACTCACAGATCTTATACTGGATTAAGCTTTTCGCGCATTTATTGGGGTTGCCAAATTGCCAAATTCCATTGTTGCAAACCACAAATGAATTCAACAAATAGCTTAACAATGGGATAATAACCCATGTCGCTGCCTAATGCCCTTATCAATTTCGTTCCCAAGCCAAAATTGTAAATGAAAATGCCATTGGCAGTTTATGTAACCTGCCAGAAAAAAATACACGAGCAGTTTTCAGCTGCCATCCGCCTTAGCACTATTGGTGTAGTTGTTGCTCCCATCCCCTACACACATTCTATTTCAGCTGACTTGCAACATGTTTCCACAATTTTCGGGTGCACCTTCGCTATCGGCAGAGCAACGCAAACAAACGCCAACTGGCAACAACAGCAAGGACAACAACAACAACTGCCAACTGGCAATTCAACAAAAATCGTGTGACTTTTTCATGTGATTCTTTTCTTACGAATCAAAAAGTTAACTTTTCCCAGGGTTTTGCGCTGAGCCACGACTGGCACGCATGCCGTACACACACACACACACACACACTCATGTGTATGTATAGACAATGCATCCTGTTGCTGCAATGCTCGCGTCCTGCACATGCAACACCAGCTACACCTCCACTCCGCAGCTCAGCAGGCACAGAAGCAGCAACAACAATCAATTTGTGCATTCGCTTTGGTTTTCCATTCCATCTGTATGTGTGTGTGTGTGTGTGTGAGTACATCCTTGTGTATCCCTTTTTTGTGTGCCATAATTTTTCGTCATTCTTTTGATTTTATTGTTGCTGGGTTATTGAACTATTGATTCCAATGAATTTATTGTTCGGACTCCTGCACAGGTGATAATTTTGAAGATTTCTTTGTGGGTTCCTGATCGGGTGCCTGTCGGCAAACAAAAAATGGGTTGTATTTTAGGGCAAGACAAGTGAATGGGTTTATAGGACTTATCGAAACTAAATGGAAACTGACATTGGCTCAACCTATGGGCCTTTGTAACTTTTCTCAAGCAATATATTCTTATTTATAGGCTATAGCCTTAAAGAAGATTAGGAAACTTACATTACATTTTAAGGGAATGGAGAATCGGAATTAGAAAATAATGCAAGTGCGATATTAAATTAGATCTCGTTTTCAGATAAAATGTTCACAAAAAATACTTAATATAAAATAAGGATTATGGAAGCTTACTCATTTTCTGTTTTGATAAGTTTGGGAATTAACTTGTGGCATGCAAAAGACACTCCAGTACTCCAGTACTACAAACTTTTGATTCGTTTTGATAAATTTATATATGTCTATTAAAAAAGAAATTAATAATAAGATATATGTATATTATTCATATTTAAATATTAAATAATTTCGAATATCGCTGCTAAGCTAAAGTTTAAAAATGTGGTTTGAAACGCAAAAAATTAAATTTGAATAACATTATATTATAGCTTTTAGAAGCAATTCCCTATCTAAAATGCCTCCTGTATTTTAATTGACTTTCAACACCAATACCTCTTAAGCTGTAAACATTAATTTAACTACATTTTAATGAGTTAAGTAGTATTTAAAAACGGCTCCGATTTTGTTTATTAGGTAAAACACCTTACTGCCCGGCTTAGCTGCCTAGTGAGTGCTAACAATTAAAAAATATAGATATAAATATTGTAGTTTATAGTATAATCGTATGCAAGTCATTATACATACATACATATATATGTAAATATACAAAACAGTTTGTCCTGACTGATGATAAAGCACAGTCCAAGACATAAGTTTCCTTTTACAGTGTACATGAGCACTAAGCGGATTTGGAATACTGGAAGTCCAGATGAGGAGGAGGGGTTCTTCATAATTCATCCAAATTACTTCAAACTCTTTAAGAAACAGTACAAAATAAACTGCATTCATCGATTTTTCTTGCATCCGTCTTATTGTGGGTTTTCTGTGGAAAAATTGTAACATGAAATGGCAATAGCTAATTAATATTGGACCCTTATTTCCTTGTATAGTGTTGTTTTAATATAACAGAACTCATTTCAGAACTGTTATAAATATCTGAAAGACAGTTAAGCAGATTCTTAACTCACCTTAAGCTTGCATCTATGAAAAAACTGAACTCTTAATTCACCGATAGCCTAGACTTGTTTTTATAACCATGTGCAAATTACAAATTTGATTATCTAACGATATAAAAGGGTACTTCTTTTTTGCTAAGGAAGCTATATACAGTTAAATAAAATAAAATCAATTGAAACAATTATTAATGTGATCAGCTGCTAGAATTAACATAATTTATTTTGCTATTTTGCGTTTTGCGGGCTTACCTTTAGCTATAATTGCCAATAATTTATGCACTTTAAATTGCTAATGACATTGACAAAATGCCAGCAAAATTGATGCTTAACATCTGAATATTCAGCAGCGGCTCTAAGATTGCGTTGTGTTGAACCCTTGAGTCCAGAGGTCCTTCGCCTGCAGTTTTGAGATGTGTGCGTGTGGTATACCTGGTCGGTTGTAATTAATGGGCGGCAATATTTTTTTAATAGCTGCGACATTCAGTCTTGTCGAGTACTTCAGTCTGTTTTTTAATGATCCCTGCCACTCAACGTCAAATGCATCGACAATCAATAGTGGTTATTGTTTTTGTTGCTGTAGACCCTGCTGGTGCTGGTGCTGGTGCTGGAGACACGTAATTTCTATACAAATCGTAAGTTGCAGTTGCCACTATTGGAACAAAGCCACACAATTTTTCGGCCACTTGTCAAAATAAATTTGCGCCTGCCCGTTTCTCAGCAGCATCTAGAGAGTCGCCGTTCACGTTCACGACTTGGCTCAAAAGGTTCTATAGACAACATTCTTCTTGGCCGTGTGGCCAAATAGTGAGCAAACTACCTGCAGTGCAATTGTTTACTTAGTCGGTTGGCAGTTGATTATGAAAAATGTGTGAAAATTTCTTAAATAAACTGAGAAGTGCAACTACAAGTTGAGGAGTTCATTCGAGTGATGCTACTCGACATTAGGTAGGATCTGGCGATGCTTCCCCGAGATGCTGTTGCTCAAATAAATAATTTCATTTAGATATGTGTTGAAGAATTCAGAAACCCTTTTTAAGCGAATATAAGGTTTCAATATCCAATCAATATTGGTCGAGATGGAGAGTCCAAGGGTAGCAGAATCGATGCAGTTGCATTTTTTTTAAACTGGAAGATCATCTTATGCTGGAATCTGTTGTTCCTAATAAGCTATTATGTTATATTTTGTAAACTCTGTATTCAACGACGAATATAAATATGTTTTTATAGAAAATTATAAAATATTCAGGTACATTTCTTTTTTGTACACTTTCTACAGCTCGGTGGTTGCTCCTTTTTCAATAAATATCCTCGAGCTGAAAAATCGCATTAAGGCACGTTCGAATAGCACCATTATGTTGCATAAATTTAAAAATGTTCAAAATAATAAATGCACAAATATTGTGAATGAAAATGTTACTTGTGTGGTTGAAAAAGTGTCGACTCAGCTATTTCCATTATCAAATGATAGTCTTTAACAGGAAGGATGCATATGGAATTGAATAGATTATATAATCCGGAACATCTCACAAATAAAGATCAAAAGTGTTATAGTGGGGAAGGGTTCGAGAAGTTAGTATAAAGTAAATTTTTCCTTTAAAGAGAAGTGGGTATAGAGAAATGTGATTCTACATTGCTTCAACTTCTATCCTTTACTCCGGAGTTTCATGCCTTTTGATTAATAATGAAAACGCTCACATTCTTCAAAAATAAATATAAATAAATAGAAAAGCGAAGCTGTTGAGTCTTATATTTATGCTCAAACAAATTTTGCGAAATGGGAAAATACTTTAACAAATCTGCAACCTCTTTAAGGAATGACGAAACAACTATTGTAAGTATATTTTGAGTAATGTAGTCACCTCTTGTTTGTGAAAATATATGAAGTGATTATATAATATTTACGAGTATGTATTCCACACACACAGTACATACTTAAATGGATTCAAGACCAACTCTGAGTTGCAAGCATTGGTGAGTTTATGAAGAAATTCAGTTTGAAAATCTTTTCAGTGTCTCTTCAAAGTTGCATTGGCATTCTTTTGACTTTTCTTGACAACAAAGAAGAAAATGTGTTAATTTGGCCGATCCCCCTTGCCCTTGCCAGAGTTCTCCGGCAATTTAAAACGATTCGTTAGTACAGCCTGTACGCCCTTCTCCGCGGTGCCCCTCAACCGGAAATCGCCAGCAATTGCACGTCGCGTCGTGTGTGCGTGTCTTTCAAGAATGTTTTTGGAAGAGACGACGAGAAATAACAAATAATTAGCATTAACCAACCACGCAATTGAGTGCAGGGGCATAGGCATACTCGTATATAGCCTGCGATGAGGAGGAGCAGACAAGCGACAGCAACAGGAACAGCAACACAAGCAGCAAGAACAACATCAATGTCTGCCTCATTAACTGCACACACAAGCTGTTGCATTTAATTTTGGAAAAACAGCGAGCGTTACGTTATGTGCCGAAGTTGTTGTGCACATGTGCATACAAACACTCATACACTGATAAAAAAGTTGCATAGTACAGATGAAAATGTTCATATTAAATTTAATGTTCTACTATTTCATATTCAAATCAAATATAAACATCGTAAATTTAACTAATAAAAATATTCATTTGTGATTTTAATATGAAAAAAAAAATATTCAAGCCAATGTGTAAAACTTCGTTTTTAAAGTGTGTCATATTCAATTTAATGTTGAACCATATTAAATATTAATATGCACACACATCAAAAAACAAATAGTTAAATAGTAAATTATAATATTTTTCTCAACTTTAATTTGAAGTTTTTTGTAGTCGATTTAAATATTCTAGAAATATATTAAATTTCAATCGACTAGCATTCTCAAGTCTGTTTTCAGCGGTGTGGCATACAGATATGGTCTTTAGGTATTTGTCAAGTAAGTGTTATTCAATCAGCTGCTCCTCACTTTTAATATTAATATTGATCCAAACTATATCCGTACTAAAAGGCATAGTAAAAAGGGCATCAAGAAAATTAATTCAAAATAGCAATGGAATGTTAAAATTACTTTCTGCTAAAAATGGTTCTATAGAAAAAAAAAAGAAAAAAAAAATGCATCATGGAAATGTCAATATTGAAATAGAGTTAAGAAAACCAGTAGAGTAGACAAAAAAGTGGAAAAAACATTTTATAATTATAAAAAATAAACCTTCGGCGTGAATCAGACCCACATCTCCACATCATCACTTGTGGTTTAATATCGTCACACTTTAAATTTAATATTTTAATATTAAATTTTTAAGTTTAAGTGTCCACACTTGTATTTACTAAAACACACAATGGTGCAAAATCCATAGTAAAAATAGTTATATCTACGTGTAAATATTGAAATTTCGTTGTTTTTTTATCAGTGTATGCATGCTCATATGTGTACACACATACACATGCATGTTGGGAAAACAGACGTGGCCGCCAATCAAGCAAACAGCAATATACTCGTATATACACACACGCACAAAACATACATACTATTGTACTTCTACAAATGTCAACAGGCGAGAAAGAGAACGAACGATGGAAGAAGAATGAAAACAAAATGTGAAAAATGCCAAAGCCCCCCGCTCGTCGTCCTCATCCCTGGGCTCCACACGTGGGTGCAGTGCAGCGAACTTTTCGATTCCCCTTAGGCTGGGCAGTGATCAGCGCCATTTTAGACGTGCCTTGAAAAACTTGAAAAGTGGGAAAAGGGGAAATTGGTAAAAACACAAACAACTGCAGCCATACTTGTGGCCTACGCCAACATAAAATTCAAGTTCTCGGCATGCGGCCGAGCATACAAAAAACCGCAACAA